ATCGTTAGGCTAGTATCCTTTATAATAATTAAATGAATAATTCTTTTAAGTGAAATAGCAACTAACCTAAATAATAAATTTTAAAAATTTTATATTATAATTTAATGTCTTTATGTAGAAAAAATAAATTAATTTTATTTATTATTATTTTATTTATGCAAATTTCTTACTAACCAATTTAAATATATTTTACATCATTAAATTCTGCTTTTTTGTGAATTAATAAAATCCTCTTTGTTTCTACTCCAGGGCATTAAAAAGGCCTTCCATCCTGATTCGGCCAGGCCCACAATGGGGCCCAGTGATAAGGGACGGGGCCCTTCATGTTCGGACTGATTTCCACGAAAAATTATTGGAATTCGATCCCGGATCCTTCAGAGCAGTTAAATTAATTATGAAACTTTATTTTTATTAATTAAAACAAGGTTGTTTTTTTTAATTGTAACTAAATTTATTCGTTAATAATCAATAAAATCAACATCTGCATTACTTTAAGGTAATATTTATTCAAAACTAATCAATGTAACAAGCATACTATAATATAATATAACTGATATATTAATATTAAAATATATATACTGCATATTAATAAGAATTATCTACTTACAGACATTACAACTAGTCACTTTGGCTTTCAGTAATGTTAATGAAATGACAATTCCAACAATTATCGGTTGAGCCACGCATCCTGGGATCTTCCACAGGACGTTAGAGGTTCTTAATTTAACATACAGACAAGTGAGAGTAACAATAATTCCCAAAAGAGTAGCCGTCCACCATAGAGAACGAGAGGAATAATCGGGCAGAAAATGACCAAAAATAATGGGTTGGAATGGCATAACGTTGACCTGTCACCCTTAAAAATTGCACTTAATATCCTTTCAATACCGTTATATAGTATAGGATTCTCTTTTATTCGCTTTCACTATCACGTGACCAGATAAATACCCTATCATCGCATCTCTATTTTTAGAGGATAGAAACACCTGGTAAATGTGGGCCGCTAATGCTTCTCTTATGCTTTATAATTATTATTTATCGGATTATATTAAATAATATCAAGATAATATGTTGTATATAATATTCTTAGCATCTCGGGGATGATTTATAAATAAATTGCTGAATATATAGAACGTAGTGTGTATGTCTGTTGAATAAAACAGCTTCTTTAACAAGATGGTATGTATAATTTATTTATGGAAGTATTTATGAAGTGTGTAATAGAATAAATAACTTATTATATTATAATTATAATTGTTTATTAAATGCTTTAAAAATAAAAGCTGTAATTACTTTAGAAAAATCAAATTAGAAAACTATATTCTTTAGTTGAAAATTATTATATTGTTTTTATAAATATTAGAGTTAATTATATATACATTAGAATATATAATAAAGAAATCATACAGAAATTTCCTTTATTTTTCAAAAATAAATAAAAATAAAATCGTATAAAATTCTTTTATTTTTTATTTTTTAATGATATGTTAAAATAGCAAATTTTAATATAATTCTTTGAATTTTATTTTATTTCTCTTATTTTTTACGTTTTAGTGTTCCCAAGAAGCTGCAATTTTAATATTCTAAACGCCTTTAAATCAATCGTGAGAGTAATATAATGAAAATACAACTTATATAAACAAATATATAGAACAAAAAATATGCTTTAAACATAAGTTAGTATGTTAAAATAACTTGTTATCTTTCACGAAAGAAAATGAAATTTCGCTCTTGAAAAACTTTAATAATTAAAGAGGGATTACTTTTAAATAATTATTTTATATTGCTATAATATTATTATTTATAAGATTATACAGTATCAAACATTGAAATTTCAATCATTAACAAGATTATTTTATATCTACCTAGTTTAAACAACACTAAAAATCCCTGTTTTCTGTTTAAATTTTAAATTTTATTATATCAAAGACGAATAAATCCTGCTAATTTCAAAGTAGAATTGTTAAAAAGTTATATATACAGAATGAAACTGAATGATTCAGCAGCATTTAAGCAACTACAAAATTATATATAATAAAACAATACTTGTAAATATTATAATATTAATATTGGTGTAATTAATAAGTATAGACCTTTTAGAGTATATTTTTTTTATAACTAGAGGTAAATAAAATTTTGTTCTACATATGTACTCTTGCAGTTTATATATTTCATTACTTTGAGTTGAGAATTTATAATTGAAGGAAGTTAAAAATTGAACGTTTGAACTAATAAGGAAGAAAGTGTTTTGCACAAATTTCATTTATTGCGACGGTATCTTCAATTTTACACCTATTTAATTTTATTGCAAAGAATAAGGATTTAACTTATGCACTTTTACTATCGCTATATAATTACTTGCTCCATTTTCCTTAAAAGTCTTAGAAGATAGGACAATGCTCTAACTCTCTCCTTATTAAAATTTAATTAAATTCTTTTATCTGATGAAAATATTTAATTATTTGAAAATGATTTTAATCACGTTATTAAATGAAAGTATTTTTAGAAAGTGAAACCGCAAGAGATTTTAATGACGTCATTTATGAGTCGAATAAGTTTTCTGTTCATTAATAAAGTTTAATTTTTTTTATTTTAAGTTAAGATTAGTGTAGAAATTTTAATCAAACACATGAAATTTTTTATAATAATATTCAATTAATCATTTTTCTTAAATATTGATAAAATAATGGGACTGAAATTAGACAAAATTATGATTTTACACTATTTTGTTGTTGTAAAAGTGAATCTAGTTGAAGAAATAAATTTCCTATGCCTAAAACATTTCTTTTTCTGTCTGTATTTTTATAAATAATAAAAATATATAGAAAAATTAATAAATATTTTAATATGAAACCATACAAAACCATATTAAATTAGAGAATATTTTAATTCTTTCTTCTAGTATTTAATGAGAATTTGTACTTTATTTTAATAGCTATTTGATCAATTTTAATTAAAAACAAAATATTTAAAAAATATAATTTTATAATCTATTTTAAAATATATTATTTTCTTTTTATTAATTTTATTTTTTAGCAAAATATAGGAAATTGTGTAATTCGAATTTGATAGGTAATTATTAATGCTTATTTTATATAAAAATTTTAGTATAAAAATTACATAAAGGTAGAGATTAAGTACTGAAATTAATGGTCTATACTTTTTAATTGTTATATTAAATATTTTATTTGAAATTAGGGCCTGAGAGGAGGAGGAGAAACACAAACCAGTTAAATACTTGGGCTTATTTTCTCGGAAAGTCATAAAAATATATACAATAAAATAAAAATAATAAAAGAAATAAAACCAGACTTTTCACATAAAAAATGTATAATTTTCATGCCAGATATTTTATATAAAAAGAATAAGCTTTGTGGTGTTTCTAGATCTGATGCATACAGGCTAACAGGCTTTCTTCTATCCTGACTTGTGTTAAAGACTTCAATATAATTATAATCTTTTCATATTATTAGAAAAAAGATCGAGCTAAATAAGGCTGTGTTATGACAGGCTTCTCTTACGTCACGTTAGGCCAAATAAGGTGTTATTTGTAACGCCTTAAATTACGCCTTCTTTTATTTGCCAGAGATATAACGTAATGTAACGTAAGAAGTGTCTTTAAGTATTTGGATGTGACAAAACCCACTTATACATATGTATATACAACATTTAAGAGTTCACTCTTCATCCACATAGTACAGAGTTGAATGTATGTTTCCACGTTCTAATTTGGTCCCTAATATCGATTGTGGTTTCGCAGTATTGAGTTATTAAATATTGTCGATAGATCTTTAATTCGTGAATAATTATCCCGTTTTTTATGTTTATTCTCTTTTCTTTTCTGCTTAGTCGCAACATGAAGCTAACTTTAATAAAAAGAAAGTAACGTAAAAGTTACTAAAAACTGTTTATACCAGTGTTTAAATTCGCATAACGTTTAGAGAAAGTGCTCTATTTAGAGGTTGTTATCGTTCATATTTACTTTGTACATAGTACCACTTTCCTCCTCTATTCTTCAGCTAATAAACATTGTTAAAAATCAGAATTTTTTTCGAAAATTCTGCAAAAAATAAAATATACATTAATAAGTAATAAAAATTAACACGTAAAAAAAGAAATAAACCTTCAAAATTCGTACAAACTTTAAGAAAATCCTGAATATAATAATAACAAATACAGCTAAAAACCTATTGTTATACACTTAATAAAAATTTTAATACTTCCCTAATATTTAGCATAACCTAGAAGCATATCCTTTATCAATTTTACATATCAACATTCCAAAATTTCACTAATTACAAACTATATTTACATTTAAACACGTGATTTATGCTTCCTTACGGAGATAAATACATAATTCACTAATGAAATTTCCACTTTCAAAAACAAATTTCACTCTAAAACAACGCGAATAAAGTAAAAAACAACTTAATTTTTGTATTATAAAAGATCCCTAATGCCCGAATTTAACCCGAATATTCTCTCAAGTTCTGCAATTTCCTCATGGATAAAAAATATATATTTTAAAATATATTAAATATAAAAATTATTATTTTTTTATATTACAAATAATTATTTTATTCATATCTACGTATATAAGTGTTACTTACTTCCTTTAATAACTTATAAATTTTTTTCTTGTGTGACATTCATTAATACAATCACAGCATTATTAAATTCTCTTAGATAATATCGACTTATCTGTTATATATCAGTCCACATCTTCTAGATAACAGGACAATTTAATAATGTAATTAATGTTAATAATTATAATTAACGTGTTAATTATTCGATACTTAATTAAACCTTTAAATTATTACCGTTACCATTTTAATTATTACTTTCTTGCAATAAATAGGGGAATCTTTTTATAAAATTAGCTGCTTTTTAAATGCAATTAAATTATCATAAAAAAATTAAACTGAATAATTAAATTGGGGGCTACCTGATGAGAATTGTGCCANGTACGTTTAGTTATTGCAATTAAATAAATCGGAATGGCTTAAAGAGAAAAATTTCATATGTTTTTCCCGGTTATGTATACACGGGACGTTAGGCCTAAATAATTATAATGAAAAAGTGAAATTTAGGAGGGGACCCGAATGCTTACGGTTTAGACGTAAATGTTTTATTATTATAATTACGTTTAATATTTGAAAAATAAGTTTGCTTCGATTCTCGTTAAGTTAAGGAACGTACCTCGTACGAAGTCGCCCACATGGGCAGATTCAGCTGATAGTTAAAGAGACCAACCAGATTGCTTTCAATTTAGTTTATTTATCGAATTATCGACGTGTTTATTTGAAATATTTTGTTAATTTAAGCATTTTAATAAAGTATAGAAGTTAAATAAATGTTTTCCATGATATAATGCATTTATGTACCTGTAAATTAGACCTACTTCCTCATAAAATTGGGTCTATCTTGGGGCCTTCGTCTTCGGGCTAATGAAATCTTTTGACTGTTAAGAGACATTGAACTACAAAAAGTAATTTTATATAATGTTAATTGTATTGTTTGTTTTATTTTAATATTTAGAAGTTGGTTGTTGTAATTCAGTATGGAATTGTTTTGTTTTGTTTTCTATTAAAATTGCTTGTTTATGTTTAATAATTACTATAGATTGATAAATTATTCATTTATCACTACTATATCTAGTTTAAATTTTTGTACATAGCTTGTATTGAAAAAAATTTTATTGATCTTTTCAAATGAAATGAGTTTTATCATTTATTTTTCACTGTTTACTTGCTTTAATTCTGTTTATAGTATTTCATTTTTATTTTTTGTTTTGGCAAAATTTCTATGATTTTGTATTTATGTAGAAGCGAAGTATAAA